CTAGTAGTGATGGCCTCCAACCTACTAGCGATGGCCTCCAACCTAGTCACTTCTAGCTACTGGTAGGATATAGTGCGCGTGGCCTTGCCTCAGAATTCATCTTTCATGCGTACTTGTGCGTGTAGCAGTGTAGCAGCAGCATAGCAGTGCATGCCTGTGACACTGATCTGTAAAGGGCTTGTGGCACGAGTGTGGCACCTTGGTTGATGAGCTTCACAATGCTGCGATCATGATCATGGTTGATCATTTCACACGGTTCCATGGAGGCTGTCATACGACATGTTGAAATGCTCCTTTGTTGATTCATTTAGGAACGTTTGCGAGACTCTTACCTGCATCTCTTTTTCGGACTTTCTTTCGAGCAGTTCTCTTCTTCAGACTTCTTCATGTGGAAAACAGCGTGCCCTGTTAGCTGAAAAAGTCAACAAGAAAGAACATGTGCGGAGATTAGAAAGATGGCAAAAAATATCAAATCATTACTGCGAGCATGGGCTATCCTGCGTCCGTTGCTAGAAGCTAACTTAGCCTAGTAGCTTACCTCCCCTACTTAATTAAGTAGGCGCGTGCAAAACACATAAAAAATACAACGACAAAGGAAACACATGAAAATGCAAAAAACAAACAATTAAAGCAACAAAGTCTTCAACTTCTTCTTGTCGTCTTCTCGTCCTGGGCTCCACATCACGTCTCAATTGCTCACGTGCCTCGAAAACAAAGAAACATGAGCTTCTAATGATGGCCTCCAACCTACGAGCGCTGGCCTCCAACCTATTGAGTGATGGCCTCCAACCTGCTAGCGATGGCCTCCAACTTACGAGCCATGGCCTCCAACGGCCTCCAACCTGCTAGCGATGGCCTCCAACCTGCTAGCGATGGCCTCCAACCAGGATGGCCTCCAACCTGCTAGCGATGGCCTCCAACCTACTAGGGATGGCCTCCAACCTACTATCAATAGCCTCCAACCTAATAGGGGGGCCTGATACATGATTTTGAACATCGAAAACCAAAGGAAAGGGCGCTCCAGAAGAGAATGTCACAGTCATGACCAAGCTTTATGAACTCAGGTAGCACGCGCATATCTTTTGTGACTAGTTCTGGCAACTCCAAGGTGAATTAGCAGTGTGAAGGATACGGAGCAAGAATATGGACAGTTCAACCCACGGCCACCCTCAAGCCACTATGCTAGATTTTTTGCACCTAAAACCCGCCCATGTTTTGATGTAGGAACAAGAACGCTACTAGTAGCAAAGGGCATCGCTACTAGGAGCAAGGGCCTTACTAGTAACAAGAAGCCAGTAGAAACAATATATAAATTAGAATTAAATTAACATTAGTAGCAAAGGAGGCTAGATTTGCACCTAAAACTCGCCCATGTTTTGATGTAGCAATCAATTGAAGCAACAAGGTACTTTCGCATATACGATCATCGAGTCTTCCGATACTTTAGAAGTTTCAGGGCATTGTCCAGGGAGGGTTGGAGGCCATCGCTATCTGACTGGTGCCATGAAGGCATTCCACATCGCACGATGCGGGTTGCAAGAGTGAGGTGAAGGGAACACCTTTGGCAATTTGATGCTACACGACCCTTGGGCAAAACAGCACTTACCTGCTGTTCTCTTGTGATGAATACCGAATACCCCTCTGAACCAAACGAAAAAGGAAGGACGGAACCACTTTTCACTTCTTCACGACCTTCCCATAGCAAGGGCATCGCTACGTTCGGGGCTCCTGGCCTTACTAGGAACAAGAAGCTATTAGGAACAAGTGCCACGCTAGTAGTAACAGGTGCCTTACTAGTAGTAACAAGAACGCTGCTAGCCCATTTTGCAGCCGAATCCTTCCCGACAAGCTGTACCTGGCGCTAAAAGGCTTCAACAGGCCAAGCCTTCGATTGTTGAGGCCTTGTGATGATTGTTTTTCCTCCTCGACGTGTTGACATGCGCTTCGTCTTGAGCTCTTTGTGCTTCTTCACCCGGCAAAGTTCAGCTTCACTCCGTACCTCAGCTTTCACACGCCCTCATGACCCCACCATCTTGGCGGCTTCCTGATCTGGCTGTCAGATCTGTATGTCTGCATGTTGTTTGCAAGCGGGCCGTCGGCCGTCCGTTTAGAGACGATCCGCTTCTAGATTTCAACACTCTTAGATTGGAGGCCATCGCTCTTATGTTCCTTTTGGCATTAGGTTGGGCCGGCGGGGATCGCTCGAAGTACAGCGTAATACACTTTCTTTTCAACATTTTCTTGCGGTTGCAGTGGGAACCAACTTTTCAGGAGAGGAATCTGTATTTTACAGGATCAGCTCTAATAGTACTAACTACCTAGCTAACCCTGCTAGTCCGGTAAGCGCTACCTTTTGCTCTACCTTGAGAGTCAACGCTACGGGGTCCATGGGGATGAGGTGAATTTCAACACCCCCCTTTACAAGGAGCTACCCGTAGGGAAAATCTCGGGGAGGATCAAATTCTAGCGACGAAGGAATCATATTAGAAATCCCTCATCAAGCTCGTGCATGCACTATACAAAGAGAACGTAGCTACCCTAATGTACAGTTTTCGCCTCACTCGGCATGTGGTTAAACATGCTAGGCCCAGGTTAGTGTTAAGCATTGATTAAAAGTTCACTCTCCGACTATGGCAATCCTGTTATGGATGCATTGGGAAGTGAGACAATGAAGTGAAACATCATCTCACAGCGCGTCAGAAGGTGATCTTTATCTCAACACTCATAAGCTGCAAGGCATACCATTTATGGTAGCTATTCAACATCTGCTTAAAGAAATTGTATTCCAAAACGCTCCGTCTCGTCATGCCATCCCTGCCTCAACCACTCCCACAATTCCATGTGATTGGGCCAATAGTTCTCGCCCCATGGGTCATCGCGTTGCCATTGTACTCCAGGAAAATCAAAGGGTTCCAATGGTCGATCAATAGTTCCACGAATGCTGGAAGTCGGCGGTCCAGTTAAGGGTGCATTATGTGACGATGATGCCGAAGCGGATGAAGTACCGGGTGGCAATGGCGGCGGTGGCACGTTTTGTACATTCCATTGCTGTGGAGCATAAGGTCCTCCTCGAACACTCACCTGCTGCTTATCCTTGCCCTTTCCTTTTACGGAAGGTTGCAACCGACTGTAAAGGTCTGTAAGCGGCGGCGGCTTCGGCGTGAGATTGAAATCTGTCGGCCTTGTATGTACCGGAATGCCACTGGCTGTATTGGGTGGTACTTTCGGTGGAGGAACCTTTGGAGGAGGCACCTTTGGTGGTGGGACCTTCGGAGGTGAAGGTTTTGCTGGACGTGGCTTGGAGATTGGTGAAAGGCCAGTTGCAGGTGGGTTGTTGGGTGCTGGTAACGGTGGCGGTGAAGTTGGGGGACCCAAGAGGTCCTTGGGGATGTTGCCACGTTTAGGTGGAAGGACACGGCTCTGGGAAATTGCTCGGGCGACAGAACCACGCGGCGTCCCTTTTGCGGGAGCGGCTGAGCCTGCTGCCGAAGAACTGCCTTGGCCTTTGCCCTTTCCGGAAACATCTCTCCGTTCACCGACATCCTGTTTAGAGGAGTCACCCTTTCCTGAAACTTGTCCTTGAGCAGTAGGTGCATTCATACTGAATACCGACGAGGTATGCGTCCCTGTTACGGGAGCTGGCGGCTGAGGCACGCCTGGCGGTGGGGTCCGGTTGTCAACCCAAGTTGCAATACGACCAGATTGATCTCGGTCTTCTCTCCTCCTCCACTGCAGCCTCGGTCGTTTGTCTGCATCTCCAATAGTCTCCATGTACATCTGCGATCGCTTCCGCGTCAACGGGGGCCTTGTTACAGGTCCTTGAGGAGATGGGGATCCACGCTGTCCAAACTCCAACAAAAGTTCTTCCAACCTTCTGACTTCGTCAGATGACATGTCCTGGCCACAATCGGCAAACTTGGGATAAGGCGTGGCCATGCGCTGTTCGATGTTCATGAAGCCCATCTGTGAAACTGGCTGTCCACGATCGCGTCCCTGCATATTTGCAGACTGTTGCGCGTTTCTCTGATATTGAATGTTTGCATAACTTTCATTCTGCTCTGCAAACTCACTCAAAATCTTGTAAATGCCTGTCGTGTCTCCACGAGGAATACGAATTGAATGAATATCGCCATAGACGTCCGTCGTGGGGATAAAGCCCTGGATCTTGATCTCATCTCGGCTATCGCCAATTACGGCGGCGTATTGTCGGAGTGACATAAACTCTCGGCGATAACTGATCAGAAAGTCCTCGTCGACGCCTTGCTTGAAACAGGTATGTAGGTTGTCAACACCGCATCGAATATACGCGAGCTTGGCGAGGTCAACCCTGTCCAGTCGATCCAAATCACTGACAACCGACTTCCCTTTTGATCTCTGCTTCGCTGATCTCGTGGGTGCCGGTAATTGCAGTGACGCAAACAAGTCTTCTTGCGCTGCATCAAACGCTGTGCATCCTTCTCCGGTTAAGGAGGTGGCGAAGACGTCGTCGCGGTTGAATCGATCGAATACATTCTCATACCCTGATTTCAATGCTTTGCGAAGGCGACTGCGAGCTGCAAGAATAATCTGACTGTCAACTGACGGGCTGCCACGAGCTGGAGGTCGTCCAGACTGTAGGTCCTGCGCGGCAATGCTGTCAAGCATGCTTGTTGCGGTCATGTTCTTGGGCACGCCCCCCTGCTCTTGTAGCACCTTTGCACGCCTCATCTGAAGTCGCATAAACTTTGAAATCGGTCCATCTGTTGTATTGCTCTGAAATACTACTCCGCATCGATGACAAGATGCCATTCCTGCTAAGGAAAGTGTCGTACATTTATCGCAGCTGAAAGTTCGAAGATGTAGAAAATATCCACTCTCGATCTGTGGTACAGCTGTATTGCGATTTGCCTCCATCTCTTCCTTCTTTGCGGCACTGCTGCTAGCTGTGCGTTCTTCGGGAGTGGTGTCGCTTGTACCTTCCAAAATGGTGCGTACTTCCGACACTTTTCCCGGGACCAATGTCACATCATCTTGCGGAACACCGACCTCAATGTTCGAAGGATCCAATGCCTGCGGCCTCGAATAGAAAACTTCCGGCTCCGCATTTGCGCGGGCTCGAGTTGCAAATAGAATACACGTATTCGGAACGTGATGGCTGGTAATCACCGCGCCAGAATTTGTGAGGAAAAGATCAACTCCTGCTTCAATCACATCCGGTGTTGAAAAACAAATCTCCACTGGTCGGTCAGCACGAACACCAGATATCGCCTTCTGGTTTCCCAGAGGTTGTGTTGAAAAGAAGGAATTGCCTTTGCTTTTCGGCCCACCGGCTCCACCGCCGGGAATGAGCCCGCTCGCAATAATGGATCGCGCAGCACCTTCATGCGTTCGGTGGTAAAGCCGAGGTGGTATATCGCGGTTCCCGTGCGCTGTCAAACGAGCATTGTACCTGTGTACATGGTCAGGACGGCAGTAGATTAGTACTGCTAGCACTTCATTTGATCGCGTCTCGAGAACGTCGTCGGTGTGGCCTTGTCCACATCGGATCTTGACGGGGGCGGCGAAAAGTTCGAGCTGCTCGTTCACACGAGAGTCGTACACGCATTGAAATTCGAAACGATCTTTGTTGTCATAAATAGCCATCGAAATCAACTCAAAAACATTCATAGAATCAGCATAATCAGGGAATTTGGCCTTCGCCAAGTCTAGTAGTTTGTAAATTGGCAAATAACACGCCGGATCATAAATACTGACGTCTGGGACGTGTCCACGAAGAAGACCAGAAATACCGCGACGAACATGATGTGGCCAGGAGCAGCACCACTCCCAAGACCCATGATGATAATCCTCATATACATAATAATACCTATGGCCAGTAACGTGGTACAGCACGTACTGCTTGGCGTCGCGGCCCAGCTCATCCTCGAGGAGTTGGATGTTGCCATTCCCGATGGCCTTGAGTAGGTGATCCGGGTAAGGATACCTTCCGAGAACCTCTTCAACCTCGACCTGCATATTTTTGTACTCGGGGTTAGGCTTCGTCTCGCGAACGAGAACGCCCTTCCCTTTTCCAGAAAATTTCAAGTCGGGGTTGTCGTTGTTCTCAGGTGCAAGAAAGCTCCCCGTTACGGGAGCGACCGAAGGGGTGCCTTGTCCCTGCCCTTTGCCTCGCAATCGCGGCAATGGTGGTCTCGGGTCAGATGAAGACGCTTGACCCTCTGCGGGTTGGTCCGCGTCCGTAGGGATCATAGGAACATCTCCGGTTGCACCTTCTTCAACAGTCGTTTCATCATCAGCCAAAACATCAAGAACCTCGGCCTCGATCTTCGCCATCTGTGGATCAGGTTCTGGCGCTGTCGGCAAGGCATTTACGCCTGCGATACCAGTATCAGGCCCAGGTACTTCGTCGGTTGCGCCTGTATAGCTATCGGGCATCTCAACGTCCGCGTCGGTTTCCTCAACCTTCGGCTCGACTTTTACGTCGGCTGTCGCAACGTCATCCATCGGCTCGTCCAATGCGGGCTGTTCCTCCGGTAGCTCAATAACAGGTACAACATTGACAAACTGCAACACATCTTGAGGATCTTCGCCTTCCAGGTTAACGGAGGCCTTGAGCTCTTCGACTAACACGTCATTCGTCTCAAAGGGGCTGTACGCTTGTACTTCCTCGACAGTAAACTGCCTGCTCTTCCCCAACGTCTGTTGCATTCGCGCGTTTCGCTGTTCAACGAATTCATTGATAAGTTGTAAATACGATTCCGGTATTTTGACTGTCGCTGAGGAATCCCAACTGTATTTAAATCTTCTCACCCTGTTGAGCGCGGCAATTCCCTCTCGGGAAGCTTCAACGACGTTCACATGGTACGACAATTTGACAATCGAGGTCACATAGTTCACGAAGCGATCGATGTTCTCCTGCGTCTTTCGCATATGCCATTGATCAACTTTATCGGATTGGTAAACCAGATTGTCAGGCTGAAATCGGTGTATGCCGAGACTCTCAATGATGTCGTTGATTTC